ACCGATATCTTATATCCAAGATAAATTCCTCTATTTTTGAGATTTATTATGCAAACAGGATTGAGATAAATCTCCGAGTCCGAGCAAGCACTCACTCGACTATTACGCCTACGGGCTACATTACTTCGAGTTCGAAATCACTCATTCAACTATTAAGCCAAAAGGCTACATTACTTCGAGTTCGAAATCACTCACTTGACTATTAAGCCTACGGGCTACATTACTTCGAGTTCGAATCACTCACTCGACTATTAAGCCTACGGGCTACATTACTTCGAGTTCGACTCATTCACTCGACCATTACGCCTACGGGCTACATTACTTCGAGTCCAAAACATTCACTCGACTAATAAGCCTATGGGCTACATTACTTTGAGTTCGAAAACATTCACTCGACTATTACGCCTACGGGCTACATTACTTTGAGTTCAAATCATTCACTTGACCATTACGCCTACGGGCTATATTACTTCGAGTTCGAAATCACTCACTCGACTATTAAGCCTACGGGCTACATTACTTCGAGTTCGAATCATTTACTTGACTACTAAGACTATGAGCTACTTCTATTTCAAGTTCGAGAAAGTACTCACTCGACCAATGCGCCTACGGGCTACATTACTTTGAGTTCGAAACATTTACTCGACTACTAAGCCTATGGGCTATTTTTATTTCGAGTTCAAGCAAGCATTCACTCGATCATTACGCCTACGGGCTATATTACTTCGAGTTCGAATCACTCACTCAACTAATAAGCCTAAGGGCTACATCACTTCAAATTCAAACAATCACTCAATTCGACTACTAAGCCTATGAGCTACCTTATTTCAAGTTTGAGTAAGCGCTTACTCGGTTATAAAGGTTATGAAATCCAAATTCGATCAAATTTCCTAAGTCCCTATGAAAACATTTATAAGGCATGAATAAAATCTTCACAAGGTAGGAAACAAAACAGAAGCAAGTCAGCAAAAGAAAAAGATATTATATATATACAAGATTATTTACATGATTGATCCAGGAGCGGTCTCATCTCCATTGGGCTCCGCCCGTTCTCGGACCCGCTCTTACTCCCATCATCATCATCATTATCATCATCAGAAGCCAAGGCTTCAGCATCGGCTTCAAGTTTTTTAGCCCTTTTTATCTCTTCAGCGAGATCGAAACCTCGAGCATGAATCTCCTCGAGGGTCTCCCTCCGAGATCGGCACTTAGCAAGTTCAACGACCCAATGTGCTCGAGTATCGGTGGTCTCGACTACCTCTCTTGCTTGGACCTGGGCAGCTTCAGTGTCGGCCCGATATACGGCCATGAGTGCATCCACACCAGCCTTTGCCTTTTCAGCATTGGATTCGGCCTTGGCAAGTTCAGAGGCCAACCGAGCCTCGAGCTCCTCTATTCTTTTTGATTGAACCGAGCTTTTCTCCTTCATACTTTGAAGTTGATTTTCGGCTGATGATAATTGAGCTCGAGCAGTTTCTTTCTCTGCAGCAAAGAGGTCCATACCTTCTTTCGACTTCAAAGACTCCGTCTTTATCTCATCGACCTCCTCATGGAGTTTCCCGATCATCTCAATTTTCTATTGCAGCTGTGAGACTGAAAAATTAGCCATCGTTTCAGTATCGAGCCCATAGGCTTTTAAAAGTATCATTACTTGCTCGGACAGATCAGTCTGATCTTGGTAAGCCTTGGCTAACTCAGCTCGGAGGTCTGTTATTTCCTCTCCCCTTTGCCCTAAGAGGAGCTTAAGGGAGTTCCTCTCCCCCATAACCCGTTAAAGGTCGGCCTCATATCGATACAAATCAGTTCGGGACCGAGAACATGCTTCTCGATGAACTTCCGCAACCTACAAAGAAAGAAGAAATGAAGTTAGAAAAGAAAAGCAAACTTAAAGGTAATGTCAAGTAATTTAAGGCTTACCTAATTTAAAGCCTGCTGCACTCCGTGAAAAAGATCCGATGCATCACTTGTACTGGTAGCGTCCTCGACACCGGTAAACAGGTCACGAAAAGGATCCTCTCCATCATGAGGCATGTCTAGTTCGAGGGCCCCAAAAGCTTGGGCTTCTTGAATCGCCCCTGCGGAAAAAGCAGGGAAGGTGGGTGAGTCTTCGATTGCTACTGCCCCAAGTGAATTACTTGGATCATTCTCTTCAGTTCGAAGAGATTCGGGGAGAGCCCATTCAGACATATCCCCTATCCGTTGGCTTCGATGGGAAGCATATTCGATCTCTAACAACTCGGGGACTCTGCCCGAATCTTTCTCTGATATATCCTCAGTTCGAGGTGGAGCCTTATGGACCACCATCGATCCAGCTGCATGTGGAACGTAGGTGGCCTTCTTCGTTCGGGCCGCCAGTGCGGACCCATCAAATTTTTTTTTCTTCTTCTTCTTCTTCTTCTTCTTCATCCCTCAGACGCAGAACTGATTCTACGATCAAAGGAATGGCATTCTTGTTCGGCTTATATGCCGTCCTCTTCTTCAGTTTTTGATCTTCGGGAACGGGGGCTCTTTTCCTCTTATTATCTTTCACCGGCTTTGGGATAGAGGCCGAAGCCTCTTCCTCGACAGACGAGGGCCTCAAAACCGCATCTTTGCCCATAACTACATATGGGAAATTTTATTAAAGTGTATGAAAAATATCTTGTTCGAACTACTAAAATATACGATAAAGGGGCTTACCATGATTTTTGGCCTCCCAACGGCCCTTCGACAAGTCACGCCATGAGCGCTCGGCGTATGAGGAGGTCGAAACCAGATCCCGTACCTAATTATTGAGATTGGGCACTGCGCCGGGCATCCAGGGAACCACTGCATCACAAAAGGAAAAATATCGGGAAGAAAGGAAATGAAAGGACAAAATAGTAGGAGATAACAACAGAATTATACTTACGCTTTATGTTCCACTCCTCGGGAAAAAGGCATCTTTTCGATCGGAATCAGGTCCGAAGCTCGAACGAACCTGCCTATCTAGCCTCGATCCTTATCCTCGCCTATGCTCGAGAATAAAGTCTTGGTAGCTCGACGTTGAAGTTTTATTAACCCTCCTCGAAAAAGGCGAGGACGGTACAATCGGACGAGATGATCGAGGGTGAAAGGCATCCCCTCGATTTTGTTCATAAAATATCAGATCAAAATAACGATCCGTCAAATAGAAAGATGGATCTGGTCTGGGGTTATTAGGTATTTACGACAAAAATCTATGATAACGGGGTCGAGGGGACCTAACGTGAAAGGGTAAGTGTACACACTTAAAAACCCTCTCATGTGAGTAGTAATATCCTCTTCGGGAGACGACACTACCACTTCTTTGTTCCCCCAGTTACAATCTTTTTTATCTGCTCGATATACCCCCCCGGTTATGGAACAAATATATCTCGATACGGGCTCATATCGCCCAGGAACCGGCGAACCTTTATCGAGTTTGAAATCGGAGGTAAGAACCCACGCCGCCGGAATGCACTCCTTAGACCGTGGATCCACCGGTGTTTTGTCGGCGGCAGATTGGGAAGAAGAAGCTTTCTCTTTTTGGGGGACAGTTTTTGATGTCTTCACCATTTTTGGATTTAAAGAAGGTGACAAAGATTTGGTGGTTTAGAAGAAGAATTTTGCAGAAAAGAGTCACAGATCAGCGAATAAACTCAGAAGAGACGAAAAAGAACTTAAAAAATCTTGTGAAGATTGAAGAAGTAAAAGTGATGAATGGTGGACGAAAAGGCTATTTATATGTTGAAACAATGACGGTTCAATATCAGCGGTGGTCGACCACCGTCTGACACCCATTAAATGCCTTGGTAAGCTAAACCGACAGACAGCTATCACGGACATCATAGTCGGGCTCGATGCAAACGCCATCACTTATCCAATCGAGCCATTGAGAAATCATATCGTTTCTCACCATATCCTTTTCGAGAAACGAGGGGACTATCTGTATACGTTCAAAATAGATTTCGGCCTTCGTACGATTGATCGAGGTTGAAACATAATGGATCGAAGAAAGACTTTGTAATATCGAGATAGGTTCCGAAGATGGTATGAACGAGCTTCAAATTTTAGGTATAGATCAAACACCGAGTTCGAAGTCACTATCGAGCTCGAGTCCGAATCGAACTATGATGAGATGATTTCGAGCTTAAGGGGCAGAGGCCAACCGATACCGAGCCCGAATCATCACCTGATTCCGAGTCCACATCATCCAGAAGCAATACCGACCAACATTGAGGTCGATCGAGCTCGAGTTCACAGACAAGAGCCGTTGCAAACACACTAGGGGAGAAAATCTCGGCAGAAATTAGGGAAAAGCTGATTTATCATGGGTTCTCCACTAGGCATTTTTAATTATATCTAAAGTATGATCCTCTACTATAAAGATGATGGTTACATTTTTGTAGAGGGTAGTTTTTTTGGCTTACATTGTAATTCAAGCACCATATTCTCTTATATTCAAGAGTTACTCTTTTAAGCTTCATAAATTGATTCATCTTGCTTAGTCCTAAAAATCATCTTATTTACAACCTTGTTTATTTTGCATTCTTTGCAATCCATATTTGATATTTCTATTTATCCTTATAATTTATATTAATCTATATCACAAAATACTATACCAAATACTATACCGAATATCGAATACCAAAATTTTCGATTTCGTACTTGAAAAGTATAGCAAATAAGGGCCCAGTCAATATTGTGAGCATTTTTGTCCTTTGAAGAATTAACCCAAATAACCGCTCACCCTATCACTTAAACTAAAAATAGCCAATGAGTGTATAATATATGCATAATTTATGTATTACATATGTATAATCTATATATAATCTATGTATATGGGTAGAAAAAGTAAATAATTAATATGGCCGGCTTTTTGTGTGAAGATCCCTTGTCCTTTCCCCTTAAAACTACTCATTTGAAATACTTGGGCCTTCTTCAGTTCAACTACCAATTACGATAGTCCAATCGGTTTCCAGACGGCCCAATCCAACTTTCCGCATTTTTATTTTTTTGTATATGTAATATTGGAATTGTCAAAAGATTGGCTTGTGCTAGAGAAGTTCAAAGAGCAGAGAGGAGATTAGGGTTTTTGGTATATTAGGGTTTAAATCCGACCGACGACGATGATTTACGACGTCAACTCGCCGCTTTTCCGATCATTCCTTAGCCAGAAGGGTGGCGCCTCCGACAAGAGGTATGCACAATTCTCTCTTTGGCTGTAAACTAACCGTCGCCTCTCCGACAAATTTTTTCATAGTATTGATGTTATAGCAGTTTTGTTTGTGGAAGGTGAAAAAGGTTGATATTTCTGCATAGCCATATTGATTCTGTCATAGTTGTGACTTTTCCTGTTATATTTGTTTCAATTGTTATTTCAATGGTCATTTCGATTAGGCTTCGCTAGCGAGTAATTTTTTTGTTCGAAATGTCTTTGCCCTGTGATTTTCATACATTTGAACCTCTGGCGCCTTATTTTGACTCCGGAGAGAATGTAAACCCATTAATGATGCATGCCATAGCTATTGGAAATTGGTAAAGTAAAGAATGTATCTTGGTGTTTGGATGGTACTCCTATGGTGTTGTGAAATGGTCTAGATAATTGATCAAGTTTTTGGTATAGACGTTATAGGTGTTGGGTTAACTGGAATGGGTGTCTATGAGCTTCATCTAGATTATACTTGTGGCCCAGTTAAGCGTTGGTTCAATTAGAGTCGAAAAGTCAAGAGTCAAGCCAACTTAACGCTTGCACATTTAGGTCACGAACACAAATTCGAGTATCTGAACTGGCTTGTCTAACTTTCAACAACAGATCTGTGAGCATCAAATGATCAGAATAATGTGTATGTTTACGTGCATGAAAAGATTTGAAATTTGTAAGCATAATTAGATTCCCTATCATATCTAGGGGCGGAGTCACAGTGTTAGTTGCGGGTTCGGTCGAACCCAATAACTTTTGTTCAAATCTTGTATTTGTATTAAGAAATTCAATGAATTTGTATAAATTATTAATTTAGAACCCAGTAACTTAAAAAAATTATAATCCCGAACCCATGAGGTTCAAATCCTAGCTCCGCCTCTGATCATATCCTTTGTATTCTATTACCTGCTCGTTCTTGTTGTTTGTTTCCTTTTCTTATTTTTCTGCTGGTGAGATCTGCATAAGTTCTTTTTGGCTTCTTATATAGATATCTCAGTTGGTTCTGCTCTATGGCAAGTTTTGACAAGTAGAATATACGTTTGACATGCAATCCTGTGAACTCACCTTGTGTCTTGGTTAGTTTTCTTTGTAGATAAGGAGAGTCTGGATTAGTTGTCTTATTCACTATAAGATGGACTGAAATGTTTTTACGCTTCATCGAACCACTGTCTTGTATCAACTAGCCACTAGAGATTTAACACTGAAAGTTAGAGCAGCAGGTTGCTGAATGTAATATGACAGAAAGCATGTATCGCTATGCCTTCATTTAATTACGAGATTTTTTTTCCAGTAAATGATTAGTTGCTATATATATATTTATATATCTTAAATTTTTTTGTGAAGTGCTCAGTATTCCCTTAAAAAGAAGAATATACCTCTTCTGGAAACTTAACGTTTAAAGAAAAGATTAAGAAACTCTACTCTTTATGAAGTAGAAGAATGGAAGTTGCAAATAAATAAATGACCGAAGAAAAGAAGGCTATCCGTATGGATTTCCCATACAAATAATTTTGGTAAAGCAAATAGTTACCGTGACGTCTCAATTTGAATTCTCAATTTGATTTCTCCAAAGCATGTTAAATTGCTGTTGAAATTGAAAGTCTTAGCGGATTATGTCTGTAATTTGTATAGAAATATCTCTACATCAATTTAAAAATTTAGCATTGTTACAATTCTACTGTAGGGTCCTAACTTTTTCAGATTATAACAGCATAATCATATAATTTACAAATGAAGCTCTAACTTGTTCATATGCCATACAAAGACATTTATTAAGTTCCTAAAAACATAATAAGAGGTTTTGTCTTACGACATAAACTAACCACCGAAATAAAAATTAACATGAAGAGAACGCAAGGAAGTAAGAATTGCAAATAACATTTATGACTTAAATGCTGAGAAAAAAGGTCTCAGTTAAAGGAAAGTAAATACAGTATAATGGCTACTTCTTTATAGACTTTTTTAGAGTCATCCGTAAACAATTGGAAATTTCTGGAGCACTATGAATTGTCTGACTAATAAAATTATACGTTAGGACTTTAGATTTCTAAAGTAGCTTGTTATATAAAAGTGGAGAATTCCACAACTTCATTGGTTTAGAATCTTCAAAAACATTTCTTTAGTGATATTTAACACTATATTATTATAATAAGAAGGTTGCTGTATTAATGGAGCATTGTTGCACATAAAATGTTTTTTTTGGTTTCATTTTTTTTCTTTCAAAATCCAGTGTTTTAAAGTTGATCTTGAATCTATCCTTCAGATCAATCTTGATATCTAAACCTCAACATTAATCTCTCTCAACATTAATCTCTCTCTCTCTCTCTCTCTCTCTCTCTGACAAATGCTATTTAACTCAAATAGAAGTGGTGGTAGTTATCCAAGCTGCTGCCTCTAGCAATTCTGCACTTGTCAAAAGCATCATTGTGTAATGAGATAGCTCACATGCATGTTCTTTCCTTTAAAGGGTATTTTTTTTTCTTTTCTAAATGTTTGGATTGAGGCGTAATTAATTTTATCAAATCTAATTATGTTTCCATGCCAACTATGATACAGCTGCACTCCTTACTCCAACAAACAAGGGTAACCTTTCCTCGCTGAATATTATAGCGATGCTTCATTTTATTCCGATTGTATTTTCTTTCCTGAAATGTATATCACGTTGTGTGATGGATTGGGAATGGGTTTTTCATATCTCCATTATATGAAGGCTCTTATTTCCTCAATTTAGGTCTTTTCTTTATGTCGAAGCTGATCTGTGATGCATATCCGACGTAGTCATGCACATCTTTCTGCATCCCTTGATCTTTATGTAAGAATGCTTCTTACATCTTTATAATTTTTCCAGGAAAACAGAAGAGCAGAAGCCAAGGGAACAGAGGCCAAAAGCTAGTGAAAACAAGCCTGTTATGAATGAGTGAGAGTGAAAGATGTAGACTTATTTTATTATATATGGAATGTTGTTGAACAAGGCTTTTAATGAAATGCTGCTTGACATTTGAATGCGTCGTTTTGTAAGAGATTTCACTTTTCTTCTTTTTCTACTTCGTTATTGTTCCCAGTCCTGATTTTTGGTTTGTGGGATGAGAACCGGGGGTTGAAAAGTGCAAAACTCAGTTCAACCTCCTAGTGAATCCAGAATGTCTAGAAAGTTAGGAGGGGGGATTTGAGGGGTGTTTTTTTNGCGTCACTGGCCGTAGATGTAACTGTTTCTAGATGGATGGTAATAGTTAAGTAAATTCATTTCTTATTTTTGTGATGTGATTTTTCTTTCTTTCTCGTAATTCTACTCTGAGTCTTTGGGAGGATATTACAGCCGTTAGTGGCTACTGGATAGGTTAAAAGGGTGTTAGTTATCCGAGTAATTACTAGATGGCAGGGGCATGATTGTCGGTCCAGCATTGCAGGATGATGTGTTGTTAACTTCTTATTAACTAGTACTAGTAGTACTGTCAACTGTGCTAGTAGATATTTAGGGTTTGTTGGTGCTCTATAATTGGAGAGATTAGCAAGAAAACATGTAATCATGTTGGAGATTGACTAATTGTAAAAGTTCTTAAAGGGGTCATGTACAAAAAAGCTACTGATGGTTGGATGCTCTTTGACGCGACTGTGAAACCGTCACGTAATGGTACCTTTGACAGAAATTGAAAAAGGAGCTTTTTGGTGTGTTTAAAGATGCACTGTTCCATGTGATAATTGATATGAGCCACCTTCTTTTGTTATTGCTTTATTTGTTAGTCCCATTCATGGTTGCAGTGCGGTCCTTGCGGAGTTTATTTGTAGGTTTAGAATAATATTATAGATCTTATCAGAAATCAGGAGAAAATGGATCTACTCCATTTGTCTAAACTTGTTTTGGGGATAATTTGACCTGTATGAGCTAAAACAAATGGTAGAAGACACTTATTTGACTCATTTTCAAAGACAATTGCAGGTATCTTCTTTTCTTCTGTTAGAGCACCTCTAATTTTTAGTTTAGTATAGGTGAAATTGCACCTAAATGTCTTATAGGGAGTAGTATATTGCTCAGAAAGAAGCTTATGGTATTATTACTCTACCCTGAAAAGGCCAAGTGGTTGGTCGGAACTTATTCCAAATTAAAAAGAATTCTTACTTAATTATTATAGTGAATATAATTAAAATGGTAACAACAGACATTAGGGGACATCACTTTTTTGACATGAAAAAAAGGTGAGAGAGAGGGAGAAAGGGGCCCTCTTCCCTCTCCATAGCTGTAGAAAGTGTGGGTATGCAAAATGAGTGGTTTCCCATGTGATTCATCTAACTCCCCCAACCACACTCTTCGTTACCTTTTTTTTCTATTGACGGTCTTCTCACAAAGACTGAAAATTAAGCAATTAATCTTTTCCTTTCTCCATGCACTACATGACGATTAAATGATGTTTAAGAGCCTGCCGACTGTTAAATGATGTTAATTATATTCATTAGATAAACTAAGATTCAACATCACAAATTATTTTTCAACATTTCATTTCTTTTCACTAACCTGGAAGGACTGAAAGATGAATTACTCATTCTGTTCTATTTCATATGGCATAACTGTATTCTCAGAATACTTGAGCAATACAGATCATGAATTATAGTAGTATTCTTTTTTATAACATGTAAATATATAAGTGAATCGATATTAGACACACCAAAAATTACATAATTTGGCTCTCTTATTACGAACTCATAAATTCAAAAAGAGTAGTTATTTGAGTGAACGTTTGCATGCTCCCTTTTTTCTTCTTCTATTACTACTATACTTTGCAGATGAGTTGATGATTTATTGAGTAGCCAACGCGTTCGTTTAGCCATCAGGCAAAGTAGAACGCTTTAAGAAGTAAAAAGTTAGAGACAATCAGAAACTTTATTGTTAGTAAGAACAAGCGTGCATTTATTCCACACTAGATTTCGTTTCATCTTATCAGTACATAAAAGATTAGTCAATTTTGTCTCTATTTGATATGTCATAATTAGAATTGTAACGTGCGGGTATTGGAGAATACATGCATCATTTCTTTATTTTTTTAATGGAACAAGTTCATAGCTCTTATTAATTTCTTAATGCTAGTGCTAGAAAAGCCGCGAGATAGAAATTGACAACGTGATGATAAAGGAGTAAAAAGGCTTTAATTGGAATTCCTTTGAAGTCTATATTTGCTTCACCAACTTGCGTTCAAGTCTCAATTAAACATAGCAAAATGAATAAACCATTCCAATTGTAAATTAGAAAAGGAAAGAACTTAATTGGAGAAGATTTTATCTGATCCTCTCATCTTTTGTGCATCCTCTACATTACTGTGTAAAAAGCATTCATAAAGCTAGCAAATAAGTAAAATTTATTGGTCTTTACTGATGTGAAATATTACCAATATTGCGCTTGGAATACTGTCACTTGCGTATTTCAATTTCCTTTTTTTAAAAAAGAAAAGAAAAGAGGGCAACGAATTTGTTCCCCGATATGATGGTTAACAAACCAGAATTAGAATCTCATTTTTACAAGTTCGAAGTATTGAATTATGTAATGTCACACATTGAATATTCAACGGCATCCAAAGGAGCTTATGATTGTTTTGAACATCTACACCCTTTGTCTCAACGATTGAAGCTCATACTATTTTACATTGTATTAGATCACGTTCATAGTAATATTGTCTTGGGTTGAATTCTTTAATTGTTTCATACAAATGGCATCTTTAAGTTTCTCTTTTACTTACTTTGTTAATCATAAAAAGAAAAAAGTTACGATAAAAAATACAATAAGATAGATTAATTAGAAGTTACAAATTTGAATAAAAAAAAGATTTTTTTGAAAAGAAGCATTTTTTCTTAAATGAAACTTATATTATTTAAATGTGAATTAGTCGAACTAAGAAGTTCCGAATATTATAGAAGAAGGTGAAAGAAAAAAATTAACAAGAGGAAAGGTCTGTCTTCCATTATTAGTTGGTGACTTTTACTCTCTCTATTTCTTCATTTAACTTCACAGCCCTCACCACACGGCCAAACCCAAACAGACGTATGGAGAGAGAGAAAGGAGAGCACATTCTAATTCCTATATCAACGCCGCATTTACAATTCACAATCCGACAACTTTTCTTCTTCCTGTTTGCTTAAACTAAAATAGAAACAACAGTCTAGATTCTTCTCCGTTTTCTTCTTCTTCTTCTTCCCCATTTCTTCAATTTTTCAATTCACCACTCATCCACCTTCCCCTGGAGAACAAAAGAAATGTCTGAACTGTGCTTATCAAACACCTGTATTCAATTTTTTAGAGTTCTCATCTCTGACTTAACTCTCTTCTGCTACTTCATTCTCTCTCACCCTCTTTACTTCTCTTACTTCATTTTCTTCTCTCCTTACCTCCTTAAACTCCTCTCTTTTCTCTCCCCTCTCTTCATTACAACTTCCCTTTTGCTCCTCGCCCTTCTCACCACTTTCTCCCCACCTAAATTCATCATCCATGAAAAGTTCAAATCTTGTACAGAAAATTCTGAGTCAGAAAAGGTTAGTATTCTGCTCTCTCTTTATCATGCTGTAGTGGAAATGTTGAAGTCACAGGGTGATGTCAAAAATGACGATCTCTGTCGTTTGGAGGATTTTGAAGTTTACAAGATCGTGTTTCAAGAACACCCACTTGAATTCTTGGACTATACATCAGCTGAAGTTAGTGAAAAATCAGTTCTTGATTCTTTAGTTCAAGAAAAAGACTCTGCCACTGCCACAGAAAATTCAGGTGAAATGGAGGAGAAGACATTGGAAGAGTTCTTCGAAGAAATAGATGAGTTTGAAAGCGAGACTTGGAATAGTGATAATGTGGAAAGGAAGAAAATGGAGGCATTGGGCACGAAGGTCGATAAAGTTGTTGAAAAACAAAAAGAAGAAATGATGATGGGAAATGGATCCAAGGAGGCTGTTGCTGCTGCTGCAGTTGATAAAGTGAAAAAGTCACATTCTTGGAGATTTGGAGAAAATCTTGATTACAACAACTCTAAAATAATGGAGCCGAATTTGGGGAGTTATGGATCTATGAGGAAAGAAAAAGAGTGGACGAGGACACTAGCATGCAAACTTTATGAGGAAAGGCACAATGCTAATGATAGTAGTAGTGGTGAAGGGATGGATTTGTTGTGGGAAACTTATGAATTAGACTCAACAAAGAGCAAGGTCAAAAGGGATAATAATAACAAGAAGAAGATGAAGAAGAAATCAGGAGAGTTGAAGAGCTACAAAAAGGATGAAGAAGATGAAGAAGAGATGAACGGACAGTTGTGTTGCTTACAGGCTCTCAAGTTCTCAGCTGGAAAGATGAATTTAGGTATGGGAAGGCCTAATCTTGTTAAGATTTCTAAAGCAATTAAAGGGTTTGGATGGCTACATCATGTCAGCAAGAAAAACAAGGTCCATTGTGGAGAATGATTTTAGTAGAGTCAAATTAATTATGCTTATCTAAGTAGTAATTAAATTAGCTTCAAAGAGAGATGTTTGTAGTAGTATTATATATGTTTTCCAAGAAATTAGACTACTTAACAAGTAAATACTTTTTGTTGTAGCTATGGTATAACAATTAATCAAATCCTATCTAATTATCCATGATGCTTCTGATATTGTTGGGACTTGGGGAAAAAAGTGAAAAATTCCAGGTAGTGGAGAAGGGGTGAATGTTGATAAAGCTTCTAATTTCTTTATGAGTTGTTTATGTCCTCTAATGATTCTAGGCATGCTTGTTGGTTGATGGATTGATATGTTCCCCCTTTGCCTAACCTTTGGCATAAAATGAGATTCTGAATATCACCAGATGATGACACTATTTTTGTGGTCACATCTGTCTATGAGGAAGGAAAAAGTTTCACTCTGCTGCTAGCTTGTATTGTACTAGTATTACTTTTGCTTTCCACTGTATCAGCAGTTTTCACTTTTGGGAGATTAGTAAAAATGTATATGGATTTGCAAGAAGGTAGATTCCAGTTCCCTCTCAAAGCTCTATGATTTTAATGCTATCTTACAACAGTTAAAAAGCGGGGGCGGGGAGAGGGGATTCGGAGGCGGATCTAGAGCACAACCAACGGGTTCACGGAGTTCTATAGCTTTACACTATATATGTATCGATAAAATATTGACCGTGAACTCAATTTTTATTGTATATTAACTCAGATCATTTGTGTGAAAATAAATGGAAGAAACAGAAGTTCAAATTGTTCACACCAGTTGACAAGAGTGTGTAAAGGATGCTGTAAATTTGTTATGGATATTTGGCAATTAGTCCATTACACCTTATCTTTCCAAATAGGTACTGACTAGGCAATTAGGCCATAGTATTCACAAACATCTCTATCTTATAGATAGGATCAAAGGAAGTGTGACAAGTGTCTATGTATTTCAATGTGTGTGTGTATGCATGTTAAATTTGAATTAGCTCCTTTCCAATTTCTGCGTGTTTTGAAGTTAGGAGCAATGACTAGAACAATAAGGCTTCTTTGGGACAAAATTAGAGTTGAAGTTAGATTTTTTTTTATTTGGAGTTGGAGTTAAAATAAGAATTTTGTAGAAGTTTTCTACTTTTGAGCAAGGTCTCTTTGGAGTTTGTTTGAGAATAAATTATGTGTCATACAAAATAAATTACCATCACAATATAAATATGAAAAATATAATTTTATTGATAAAATAATGCGGGTACAATTCTGTTAGTTTTTTTGATTATTCTTTCTAGATCGTTCTCCGTAATTCGAGATCTTAACCAGCGTATTTCTCGAACATAAGATGCCGCAAACTTTCTTAGGATGTATTTGATCTCCATGAAAAGAAAGAACATTCGTTGATCACTTCCGCGACTTTGAGAAAAATAATATTTGATGTCTTTGATCTTTTTGTGAATATTCCATGAATTTTATGGAATTTCGAGATGCTTTCAAAGGGAATATGTGGTCCCTTTTTATAGGTGTAACTAGAATTTTTAGTAGAGTACCCTCCAACCTAGAGTTTCAGGTAGAGTAGCCTCCAAGTTAGGGTTTAAAATAGAGTAGCCTCCAAGAAAACCTTGATGGAATCTACTTATAGTATCTTAAATTTAGGATTTTGCCCAAATTTCATATGGATTTGATTCAATGAAATTTTTATATCTACAAATTAATTTGTAGACAATAAATTGCGTCGAGAAAATAATTGAGACTGAAAAATATTGCAACAATCGTAGTATTTAATTTCGAGTAATTTGAGTGTTACAATCTCTATGATCCCTCTTATTCTACTTTTCTAATATAAATTCAAGGGCCTTTGAGCTTAATCTTAAATTTGAATTTGATTTATCCGCCGCAAATACTTTGATTGTTGCCACGAATTTTATCACGAACAAGTAGCCTTGATTTTGAACGCCTTGTATTTGATTTGACTTCGTTCTTGATCTTGAATACTTGAAATTTGTGTTGAAGTCTTGAATGCTTGAACACTTGCAGTTTGTAGAGAATTGTGGCCTTTGATCCACGAGTTCCCTTGTGTCTTCTTGTTATAACTTCTGGTCTTTTCTGAGTTATGAAAATCCCTATTTATAGTTGTGGAAGAGAAGAGTTGTAATGAGAACAAACTTTTTTCAGCCAATCAGATCGAATTGTGACAAGGCCGCATTTGATTGGCCAGAACATGTCACTTGCACATGTGGCGCGATTTCATTGGCCTTTTAATTTGACTTGGCATGCCTTGTCATTTTGACATGTGATATGATCTTATTGGTTCTTCCGTTTGACTTGGTGTGCCGTGTCATTTGACACGTGACACCAAACAGGGCCTCTAGGAAGATGACATATTGGGTTTAATGAAGTGGGCTCATCATTTGTGGCCCAATTAAATGGGCTAGCCTAGTGAATATTTATTGGACTTAAGTAATTAATCCAATTATATTAGCCCATAATATTTATTTGGACTAATATATTTAAAATATAGTCTAAATTATTTATTGAATTTAAATCCAATAAATTTTGCATGCCTACAAATGCCCCCTGCTTCAAAACTTGTTGGGATGTAGACGTGTTGAACTTTAAAACATGGCTTGAAGTAAAATGTCAAATAGCTTTAGCTCTTGACCCCAAATCGTAATTTGTTTCTCAAATATAAATTTTCAGTCTTAATACGTTCAAGAAACTTTCATCCATTTTAGGAAGATTTATATATTTTAAATTGATGAGCTTTTAATGTTCGCTTCAAAAACGTTTACGTATGTAAATAATTGAAGATCAATTGCCACTATTGTAAAGAGAGATATTATCAAAGCCAATACTCAATCTTTTTGGTGGCACACGTGAGTCAAGGTCTCCTATTCATATAGGAATGTTGTCGCCCGGACATCACCAAGCAAATAAGGAGTGTTTGATAGGCTTCAAATCCCACTTGAACTTGAAGTAGCCAATGATTAAATCCCTTTAGGAGACAAATTACATTAATGACTCTCACATCGCTAATATGTCTTTGCAACTCATCCTCGACATCTATATATATAGATGCATGCTCTCCAGTTGTGAATATCAGTTCACAGTGTTTGCCAATTTCTCGAGTGCATATTTGATAGGTAACTTCGCTCTTTTATTAATTTTTGTCACCCTTTTACAGCCAATACATCTTGTGGTATAAAGTTAATATCTTGCTGTAGAAAAGTCCAAATCACAGTCCGTTTAATTCTACAGAAGATAGACTTTTATTTATAGAACATATCCAAAATTTAGAATTAGAATCTTCGCGGATCACCCTAGGTGAGTTTTCGAAGTTAGCCTTAATTTCTGTCATGCTGATAGTTTCAATTTGTATGACTTCACCAAAAGTTTTATATCTTGATGTAGGAATCTCGAAATTACAAACCGTTTAATTTCTCAGAAATTAGAGTCCAAGATCTACAACATATCCGAAATTCAGAATTAAATAATTTTATGATCATTCTAGATGATATTTTGAAGTCGGCTCTATATTTTAATGCGCCATCAGTTTCAAATTTGTGCGACTTCACCAAAAGTTTATATCTTGATGTAGGAACCTCAGAATCGTAAACCATTTGACTTCTCAGAAACTATAGTTCAATATCTACAACATATCCAAAATTCAGAATTAAACACTTTTAGGATTCTTCCAAATGAGTTTTTGAAATCGGCTCTATATTTTGATGCGCTATCAGTTTCAGATTTGTGCGACTTCACCGAAAGTCTTATATCTTGATGTAGCAACCTCGGAATCGCAAACCGTTTGATTTTTCAGAAACTACAGTCCAAGATCTACAACACATCAATCATTCAAAATTAAAAAATTTCAGGATCGTTCTAGATGAATTTTTGAATTCGACTCTATATTCTAATGCGATAATAGTTTCAGATTATCGAGGCTTCACCAAAACTTTTGTATCTCAATGTTGGAATGTTAGAATTGAAAACTGTTTTAATTGATAGAACCTAGACTCAGAGAGATTCTCTCTCACCAAAAATCATAGCCCGAATCATGCCATATTGTTCTAGGCAATACTTTGAACTCAATTTTCGAATCTGACATGCCTTGGCAGGTAACCATCTTTCTTGTACTCTTATTGTTTTTTCTGCCTTCTTTTTTGTTGTTGTAGGCAATGGAGACATCTTCATCAACAAGGTTAGATGTACATAGAAGGAAAAATTCATGGCACCAAATAAAAGGACAAATCTTCAACATCGTATGGAAGTACAAATCTATGACAACGTATGAAAGTATTAAATCCATGACAACATATAGAAGTATCAAATCCATGACAACATATAGAAGGATCAAATCCATGAAGAGGATAACTTAAGGTGCAAAGGGACTTAAACGTCCACCTTAAGATTGGAAAATTAAAGTTTCTTTTAAGGACAAACCTACGAAGAGGTCAACTTAAGGTGCAAAGGGACTTCACTGTCTACTTTAGGATTGAAAAATTATAGTTTCTTTTAAGGACAAACCCGTAAAGAGACCAACTTAAGGTGCAAAGAGACTAACATGTCTACCTTAAGATTAGAAAATTAGAAAACTAGAAAACTTCAACTTGTAGACTTGGCGGACTTTGCAGATTTTAACTTGAAGACCAATAAATTTGAAGATTTGACGGGCTTGAAAATTTGGTGGACTTTGATGCTTCAACTTGAAGAGCGGTGGACTTTTACTTTAACTTGAAAAATTAGTAGACTTGAAAACTTCAGCTTTAAGACTTGTAGGGCTTGAATAATTCAAACTGAAGACTGGCGAATTTAAGGACTTCAAATTGAAGACCGGCAGACATGAAGACTTGGAGGGATTGAATACTTCAACTTAAAGATTGGCGAACTTTCAGGCTTCAACTTGAAGTGCGGTGGAGTTGCAGAATTCCACTTGAAAGACGGCATACTTGAAGATTTGGAGGGCTTATATAATTTAATTTGAAGACCGACGAACTTGAGGAC